ATAAATAATATAATGAGCGATTATCGACCGCATGTGTCGTGTGATTAGGTACTGAAACCAAAGATAATATTTTTAATTTTCTAAATATTACTAAATACTAAATAGCCGTACTATATTATGCTAGAGCTTAAAAAACTATATCTACATTTTTTTTTTTTGTTACTGTAGATGATTATTTTAAGTAAGCTATATAAATTAATTTCATACCATTTTAAATCAAATTCAATAGTTTTTACTTTTCAATAGGTACACATTAGTACATTACTACTACCTATTAAATTTTTTTTTTAAATTTTAACGCAATTAATTACTGATTAGTGATTATAAGATTTTTAATATATATTAAAAACCTAATTAAATACATTGATTTGATGCTTTTGATATTTTTATTATTATAGAAATAAAGACATTAAGAGAAGATATTCTAGATAATCTTTATTTAAATATAACCACGTTTATACATACTATATAATTTGCAATGTAATCCAAGAATAATAATTTAAAAAAATAATCGATGCATATTTTTGTTTTTATGACTCATAGATTATAGTTTATAAGTCCTATGCACTTTGGTATAGGTGCATATTAAGAGCACAATAGTTCATATCCTACCTTATTTTATTATTTTTATTTTTATTATTTTACAACGAAAATATAAAAGTTTTAATCGTCTTCGTGCGCCATACGATCAACTACTTTGTTACAAGTTACTAAGTTACTAGTTAATGGTTACTATTACGCGACTTTCATAATAAAAATGAAGAATATTTTGTTAATTTCTCATACATAGCGTGTGATAACTGTCGATAGCATATCGATTAACTCTAATCGTTATAGGTTGGTAACACACGACCGAGACGATATAAAAGTTTCTAATCGTTTTGATATTATTGTTTAGAATTCTGGACATAAAAATATGAAACTCTATATCACAATATATAAAAGTATACTTTTACGTCAATTTTAACGTTTTTAAACGTTTAACGGTAGTTATAMATTTATTATAATATGTATTTTATGTAAACTTAATGCCTCGACATAACATTGTTATTGTGTAGTCATTTAAAGCAGTAAATAATATAATACGTATTATTATAATATATTTATTTATTATATAATATAAAGCACAGTACTCTACAAAATATGCATTACATTTAATATACGTACATAATAATGGTTTATTATATCATAATTGTCTTGGGTTAGGCTGGTAATTAAAATGTTTTGTTTTTTGTTATTCTCCGATTTGAATCTACACATTTATATTTATTAGTAAGGTAGTAAATAGTAATTTGAACTACTGAACATGTACAAAAATATTAATACTAGGAACACAAAATTTGTAAAAAAATAATCAAGAACTTTGAACCCATTTGTAGTTTAATGGTTATCTCACGAAATCATATAGTATATACTCGTGCTAGTAGGTATATAATATTGTTTACACAACGTTACCGATATTATTATTACGACGCAAACGCCCAACACCCGTTGTCATGTCTATAAAAACGAACCGTATCGCGTATGTGTGTGTGTTTGCCTGTTTTTCTTTTTACATTGCGAAAAGAGAGATCATTTTTTTATTATTATTATTAACACAATGCAACGATGACTCTTCTTGTGGTACGTTGTGTGGTCTCGATTTATATTCTTTCGTAAACATGGTCATATGAAATTGGCATCAACGACCTTTTTTTTTACCTACTTCTTTCCTTGAGTTTTCACTTACTTCCTGCTGAGATGGCTTAGGTAATGAACCATAGGGATTATGTATTTCGTATAAAACGTCGTATCACAAAAAATAAAAACCAATATAGGAATAACCATTACGATTTACAGTTATATCCCTTTTGTTCGCAAAATTCTACGTTTTGACTTAATTGTGTAACAAAATATAATGGCAAATAGGTTTTTTAACCCATATCAAAGTATTTGGACATTGATAAATAGAAAAAAAAAATGTTCAAACCTAAACCAAAAAAAAAAAAAAAAATATGAAAGAATAGTCATCAACACTGAATATTTATCAAATATTTACAAGTAMCTAAGTAACAAACAACGGCTATAAATGTCTTTAAAAAATGTTCTTCTTAGTTTATACATCGAAATAATTTACTTTAAAAAACTATAAAAAAAGTATTTATTTAATTTAATTGTATTTTCATACCCAATACTATTTTATCTTTTGTTATTGTGAAACTGTACATTGTTACATAATCTAGAACAATATAAATTACCTATAATTATTGTTATTTTGTTTATAAATTACGATTAACCATAATAAGTTAAATGCCCGTCAGTAATATAGTCCATAAATAATTATTATAATTTGTAATAACTAATAAATAATAGTTATCTGTTATAAATTATTTACCAAAAACAAATGGTATTTTGTAAATCGATTTAGGATAGGTATGTTCCGGATTAAAAGTAGATTTTATGAAGCGCAATGGCTATTGTTTCAGTAACTTTCCACAAAACTATAAATTTGTACATAATTCTATGCACACATCAACGTGTCAGTTAGACCGGGACAGTCTCGGTTTTAAGGACATGTCCCGGCGCGGTCCTCAGTTTGCTCAGGTTAATAAAGACTGAAAGAAAATAACATTTAATATTGTATTTTTAATACTAAAACATAGATTTTGAGAAAAAATTAAAGACACTGCTCTATATAAGAAAATTCATTCAAGTGAAGAGTATAACTATMAATGCATAATAAGTAAATTATTTAACTTTATTATAATCAAAATTAAAAAAAATATATATTATAAAAATCAGTCATTCAATGTCATGTACTGGTTGAGGATTTCAAGGAATCCTGACTTTATGCTAGTACTCCACATTATTATATATATATTATATATTGTAGCTGGGTGTACGGTATATTACGATCAATGTTAACGTTTCAGTTATATTGTAGGTTGTATATATGTAGGTACCTTTATTATAGGATCTGTTTTGTCAACGAGTTCCATGGTCATTTATTTTATTCCCGTACAGTTATACATAAAAAGTATCTGATATCCAAAAAAAAAAAGGAATTATTTCGTCCAAGTGTTTATAAATCAATAAATTCAGATGTCAAAGGTATTTTGCCGAATTAAACACTACACTCAATTTCTATTATAAGTCATTTCCGGCAGTTTCCAGACGACACTTGTCAGACGCGCTTTCGATTTTTTCTTTACATCTGTATTACTATCTTATGAGATTACTAAAGGTAGTATAGTACCTAAATAAATTATTGTCAAAGACACTTATTATTGCTACTTAATAATGGTGTTTTTCACAAAATTCTTCTTTGCATTCTACCTGGTACATCAAAACACGCTATTTCTGTACTATATTATAGTAAATTAATTCAGTTGAATTATTTCATTGGTTGGTAGGGTAATAAATTAACCATATAAAAGAGATGCCMAACAGTTGTATCTTGTTTTTTTTTAGGTTATTTCTTATAGCGAAGAGAATGATGGTGTTTTATACTTTTATTTAACAGAAACATGGATAAAAATTTAAACTGTGATATTATAGTTTTTGAAACACTTTTGGTTATATCTTTATGTAATAATAATATATAATATTTTATAGGTATGCTAAATATATCCGACTATAATAAGGAAACCAATCTTCATCATGAATCGTAACCACCCTCTAAAGTCTTTAATACAACACATATAATATACATATTATACAAAATAATTAACAAGTAAAACTAAAAACTAAAAAAAAGATCATGATTCTGTGACCAAGTAATTTGTAATTAGCACTCGACTTACTTCGCTCTCATCTGTGCAACATATATAAGGTATTCTCATAAATAATCTTTACCAAAAAATTATTCTGTTTCTGTCTAATTCCGGTCGAAAAAATTCACTGTTACATTTTTTCAAACCATGATTGCTTACATATAATATAATATAAAACAAAAGGGAGGAAATCTTTGCGCTACTAGTAGGTATTACGCGAATTTTTCATCCCGACAAGAATCAAATATATAGATACAATAGGTACATGAATGATGAATGTAAAATTATTATCATTTCATTGATCTCTATAATGTTATAATGTTTACTGTTTAGTGAAATCTTTAGCCGAGTGGGCATGGCAAAAAGGCSTAATTATTGATACAGACCAAAACATTTATAGACTTGGAAAACTATAAATTAATAATTAATACAACCAAAAAATTTAAATYTTGACAACGCAATCATCGGCGTGCGAGTTAAACGCGATTGACGATAATTAATGTTATTCTCTTAAGTGTATTTTTATATTGATTGGTTAAATATAATATTTTACAAAGTTACAAATTTTCTTCCTAAATTTATATGTACCAATACGTTGTCATGTTTTCGCGGTCTCACTTAAGTAGTCAAGTACCTACTTATATACCATATTAGTGTATTCTCCGATCGTTGTATACTCATAATGATATGCATGGTCGTCATCAGTGCTTTATACACCTGCAGGCTACTGCAAAGCAATGTATACAGCAAGCAAAAAATATTATACGAAAAATATGTATAGYAAATAACAATATGATATTATGATATGATTCATGAGTTATATGAATATGCGTGATTTCTAGGCAAAGGATATGCGAATTTCAAAATATAGTATAAACCGAATTATAAAGACGTGTCGGGAACGTAAAATAATAATACCTATTGCATATTTTGTTCTATTTCGACCAAATAAAACRCCGTCGAAAAACGATAATTAATATTGGGTGGGCACTTCATATTATTATTATTGTAAAATACTAAAATATTATACTCCGACGCGACGACAGCGGCGGCGGCGGCAATCAACAGCAATCGGCCGTTGCCGCGGTCGCCCGTACCGTACTTCCACCCCATTTGCGGGAGTCCGGCGGTGGTGGGAACGAATTAGGCGGGGCCACCGGACCCCTCGCGCCCGCCCGCCCACCGCTGTACGAGCCACGAGCCGCCGAGCCGGTTTCCGAAAATCCGGCAAAAATAATAATATTATCGCAGTGTCATCCGTACGCGTTGGCCGTGCGCACATATTTTCTTCTTCGCTACCGTTGTTAAAACACTCGAGAAAAAAAAAAACCTTAAACGCCGCCGCAGAGAGTAAATTGATCACACGTCGCGCCACGCCGGCCAAACTTCGACTTGCGTTCCACTCGCACCGTCTCTCGTGCCACGATCAGTCTCGCGACTTGCCGCTCACACCACTGGCGTGCGTTATTCGACAACCGATTTTTATTACCCGATATTCTATCGTATATTATTTAAGTTATTGTTATTATAATTATTATTATTCTTATTACCKTTATTGTCTTAGTAATAATTGTGCATAATAATATTTTATATTACTAATAAATTATAATATACGATACATTGTCGGGTTTTCGACGAGCCGTTTTTGAACGACGCTTCTCGACGCACATTTACATGGTGTCGTATGAAAGTCCGATGGCTCACGTATTGGGGACCAACAACCTCGACTCTTCGGAGCCTTACAAGTCCGAACACGTCGAAGAAATGGACATGAAGGGTATTTATTTTTATAAYATTACWTAGCACTGTAAATTATTAAGATATCGTCGTTGTTTTGATTTCAATTCAACGGAATTCGCTTCAGGTTTAGGTAATTGGTACTTAAAACTTGCTCAATTAATTCGTCGCGTCGAATTCACCCAGCGGCGTAGGTACAAGTGTGCGTGTGTGTGCTAGGTCATGTCTCATGAAATATTGTCTCTAGTAGTCCATAGGTCGACAAGGTTAATGTAGTATAAATATTGTATTGTTTACGTTATTGATAAGGTGCCGTGCTCGACGACCTGAAAATAATTACATCGAAGAAGGGGTTTGCTTAATTTTGTCGGACAACARACTAATAATATTTTCTAAAAACCCAAAAGATATTATCGGATTTGTCGAATGCTTTCGATACCTGTTTAATAATATTTTAATTGTCGCTAATCTGTTATGTATCATGCAATAGCTAATAAAATGTAACGCTTTGGCGCAACTTTGGCAAAAAATAAATTCGTCAAACCAGATCTTTTGATTGTTATTTATCGACTTTCAACACAAAGCCACTYATGTTTCAAATGTTATGAATTTCTTTCCATTAAAAAATTGTATTTACATGATAAATATCGATGAATTGTACAAAATATTATTACATGTATCGCAAGAATTAGAAAGTTTCATATTTTTTATTAGTTATAATGAGTAACAGAGACATTTTAACCTTATTCATTGCATTATCAATGTAGGTACCTACTACTTTTTATATACGAAAATAATATTTAACGTATATAGTTATAGTTGATTATATTATTTATACAGATACATAAGTTATACAATTAAACGAGTATCTACAATGTTAGAACTGAGATTTAAAAAAATTTAAAATTCWTGTGTTGTGTAATAATTAATAGGTTAGTGATAACTTATAACWATTAATTTATAAGTAATAACCTCTACCTACTAATGGTATATTAAATATTATTTGTATAACTTTTCTCAATAAAATCTGTGTTGACCTAGGTATGTAAATATGTTCGGTTAAATAAACCAGAATTATCAAATTTCAAAATARTATTTATAACATATTAACATCATAGATGTTTAAAAATTATTATTCATTAATCATTGATTATGCATTTTTAGACTTAAATTAATATCTATAAATAATTATTAAATTAATAAAATAATCGGTAATCTACTATTGAATATTGTACGAAATATGGGTTTATATTAATTTACATTTATTATCGACGATGATATTTCAAAGAAATGTTTTCTAATTAATAATTGTACAAATAATTAATGTTTATATGAATATATCAGAATAATACCTAAATAGAAATTGATTTTAAATTTTTAAACTTTTTTAATCATAATATAATCATTTAATATACATTATACTATTATATGATAACAAAATTATTTTAAGTGGCGTAATTAATTTAAAAAGAGATGTTATTATATAAATAARTAATAACTACTTTTCTTCCTACTATTCTTTAGTGAGATATACCAATATTATTATTTTATATCTACTCGAATAAAAAATATTAAATTTAAGATTATAAAATTTGTTAGGCTTGTATATTTAACATTTATACCACGTTTAAGTTTTGTTCATATATATATATCTATAACTATAAATAAATAATAATAACATGGATGGAAAATTAATTACTTATTCTATTGTGTTCGATACCTATTGTAATATTTTATTGTTTCTACTTTTTTTTTTACCATTTATTTTATAATATGCAATCAATGGCTTTTAGAGTCTTAGCTTTTGTTCAGATGTATTTTATTTCCTTGCCGTTCATTTATAGTACGTTTACCTAATTAGTTGATAAAAAAAATTAAAAGAAAGAATATTGTGCCTATTAATTACGTAGGTAAATACAATATCAATGTTAATAATTGTTTTATTTTTTTTTACAGTAAATATAAATGACTATTGGGTACACTTTGCGCTGAACGCAATCCTTGAACGTTACAACATCAATCAAGTGCCTAGAGACGAACAAGAATTACGTTCGTTGTTTGTGGGCTCTTATTATCATCTACAATACTCTATCAGCCAACAGAATAACGAACCCTCCACGACCTATCCTACGGACGCGGTCCTCATGCAGATCATGCATCAAGTGTTCGACATACACCCCGACTGGCTAGATCAACGCAACAACAATCAGCCGCCAGTGCAAGCTCCGGCCACCGGCGACGACGAGACGTCATCCGTGGCGTCGTCCGCGTCGTCTTCCAACCCGCCGTCCTCGTCGCGCCCGCGTCAAACACGGCCATTCAAATGCACAGTTTGCGGCAAAGAGTTCGGCTACAAACACGTACTGCAGAACCACGAACGCACTCACACCGGCGAAAAACCGTTCGTGTGTTCTGTGTGTAACAAGTGTTTCACCCGTGACCACCATCTCAAGACKCACGTCAGACTGCACACCGGCGAAAAGCCATTTTGGTGTCCGCACTGCAATAGGTTTTTCGTGCAGGTGGCCAACTTACGTAGACACCTCAAGACACACACTGGCGAAACGACCTACCCGTGCGAATACTGTGTCGCGTTCTTTGCAACGGCCTCGGAGCTGAAAGACCATAAGCGACAGCACAAGGAAAACAACAAACCCCGCGGAGTTGTAAAAAAACGCTGCCGCGCTACCGTACAGCCGACCGACCCATCTACTTCAGTGTCATCATCGTTGCCAGCTACACACGGTTCCCCTCCACCTTCTCCACTGCCATCCGTGCCAAGTAATTWCTGGTCTTCGCCACCACCTCAACCTCAAGCAGTGAGCGTGCAACAAAAAATAAAACAAGAGGTCTCACCGCCCACGGGCTCATCGATTGAGCCTTATCATTATCTACAGTTTATCGCAAGGTTTAAATCGCCTGAACGAAGTGAACCTTTAGTCAAGTTCGAGTCACCAGAACAGACTGAACCTGAAGATCTTTCCATCAAATCCGAGAACAAAATGATCGTCGATGTTGCTATGGATCTCACATGTAAATAGCTTTTATTATTATAAATTTCAGGAAATTAATGAAGAAAACAATCATATAAAATGTAACAACTACAAATTATATACAATACATAGATTTCATGTCCAGTAGCCAATAATAACAACTTTAAATTACAATCATTATCATTAATTTTATTTTTTTCGTGGATATGTATTCATTTCATAGTTTTAAGCTCAATTTTTTCTCATTAATATCAAAAAAATTTTTTTAATAATAATAAATTGGTTTTTTTTTTTTGACGTTAATCAAAATAATTGTGCAATACATATTATTAATAACATGTATAGTTACTTTAAGTTTTAACCAATTATATATAATAGGTAAATGTATAACATTTTATATTCCAAATTTTAATAGGTACCACCGTGTTGTCCCCAACCTTATTTATTATGAATAGGCAAATAATTTGAGTTGGTGCTAGTTGTATTATTTATAATAATAAAACAAGAGAAGGGCTGCTAAGTTCGAGTATGAAATTTGTATGTACATAAAAGTTGTCTGCCACCGGTAATTAAATCAATTTTAAAATAACAAATGTAATCAATACATTACACATACTATTACTCAATATTTTTGTTTTAACTTTCGTGAAATTCCCATTTCGTTATTCGTATGTAAAGTACAAGTGCGCATGTGATATTATATTTGTTTTAATATTTATTATTTTTTGTAAATTTTTTTTACTCCTGTAACATTATTATAATGTATTAATATAATTTATATATATAATATTATTTATTCGTTTACCTATCATAATATTAACATTTTGTACAAATTATTGTAAAATTAAGACTGAATTTTGTGAAGGATAACATAGGAAACAAAATGTTGGCGCTCATTAAGTAATTATTTTATTATTTATTAATATAGCCAGTTGGTATTTGTTTTGTTTCCCATTCTCTCTTTTAACTGTTGTAAGATATTTCAACACATTTTTTTCTTTATAACATTTGACTATTAGAAAAATGAATTTTTGAAATGGGAGGTTTGTTTACTCATTATTATTAATTAATAATTATACTATATTACTGTCAATAATATTGGATTGTCATTAATCATTGTGCCATTTATAAACTTATTATTTAGATATATTATTTTGTTAAAGTATTTTGAGTTATGGTCTGAATAAATGTGCTCAAGTCTTTAAAAAAAAATATATTACCGTTTTGAATTTGTGTTTACCTTGAATCAGCCTACCTATTCCTGTAACTTCAGTGAAATTCTCGAATTTCTTCATTTGTTTGCTGTTCTTTTTTTTTACAAAAATCTGCCGTTATATCAGCATTATAGCTATAGAGGCATGTGTGTTTCCTTTTGAAGGCCCGTGTTCTTTTTTTTTTCTTTTTAATGGAAAACGAAGAGAAATCCCACAAAAATGGGTTAATGCGTTGCGAAAAATAATGAAAAATAAAAAAAAATAATACTTGAGGGTTCAAACAAACCGAATAAAACCCCTCGTAAAGAACGGTTTCTTTGCCAAATTAATAATAAAAAAAGAAAAAGAATCCCGTTATGTTGGGGTTGTTTGCAAGAGGAGTAGATGACCTTTTCACAGCAGGTACAAATGTATACAGACCGAGAATTGGTTGTTTAAAATATAAGCACGAGTATTCAATAAAAATGTTAAAACTGTTTTTTTTTTAATGATACATATCACAATAATTAATATTACTTTTTATAGATTAATTTATCAATAATTACACAACAAAGCATTAAAAAAAAAAAAAACAGTTTTAAAATAATGTTATGAGTATATAAAAATAATCAATATAATAWTACCAACATCAAATGGGARWTTAAAATAATACAGTCGATTCTCGATAATTCGAAGTTGACGGGACTGTTGAAAAAATTCGAATTACCAGAGTTTAAACTGTTAAGTAATTCAATGTAACGAGACAAAAAAAAAAAAATTCTAATCACTGAGAGTTTAKRAAAAAAAATTTCTTTTTTTAGTTTAGTACAATAGTACATACATAATTATTAATTACTTCAGCAAATCAAATGGTAAATATTAGATAAATTAATTGTTTTTAAATTGTAAATTAAATTATTTACCTGGTACAATGTAAAATAAAATTATTAAAATAAAAGATAATTATTTTTTGAAAAAATCTGTAATGGTTTTCTATTTCGTCAAATTTAGTTTCATTTTTTCGTAATTTTTAAATTTGGTGAATATAATCCGAAGAGTGTTTAACGTATGATACTTCGGATTGTCACGTGTTAGTGTCCAGATTCCCAAAATATAATTTCGAATTACTGAGAGTACTTAAATTTATTGTTCTTATTCGAATTACCAARCATACTTAAATGTATTGTTTTTATTCGAATTATTGAAGGTTTGAATTATCGAGAGTCGACTGTAATTGTTTTGACCTGAGTAATATAAAATCAGATAAAAGATGAAGGATATTATGATTATTTAAATTTTAAATTATAAATGCGTATACGGTATTATCGATAACACTGTAATATTGCCGAACAACWGTCTAGCGGTATTCTAAAGACTAAAATACCATCGGATACCATTAAATCGAAAATACTGCCATCGCTAACCTAAATACCTACTCATATATTTATTAGATTATAGGTACCTATACTAACAAGTGTGCAAAATAGCAGCCACACATTAGAGGGTATTCAAAAACAGATTTCCTTCCGGTATAAGCTATTACGATTTTTTACGTTTATGAATAGGTATTTAGAATATTCACCTTCAACTACTACCAGGTATTATTATTTATAATATATTATGTGTTAAACGTTTAATTCAATATATAGTGTAAAAAATTGGCCATTGCCTATTTTGCGGCGAGTATATATCGGCTTTGTTATAGCGGCGCAATTTTAGAATTTTGCGTAGGTTAAAAAAAAAATAGCCAATTATAATCATAGCTGATAGTATGATAGATACTCTAAGACCAAAAAAATATTTTTTTTAAATTACTTTGATAGTCTTTATAATATTATAATTGATTTAAGAGGCTAAATATTGAATAAAAATAATTCATTTTACTTTTTAAATGACTACCATGTTCTCTTTTTTGTTGTGCTATTTCAAATAAAGTATAATTGTATGAATAGAAAAGTTAAAGCAAAATATACGTCATTTCTACATTTGTCGAATCTCGGAGACTCAATTAACGGTAATCGATAATACAGTAGATATTAGCCAGTAGGAGGTATCCAGATAATTTAAAGTGTTAAAACCATTATTAACTTATAATTTAARCATAAGTAAACAATAACATCTAAACAAGCACTGACGCCTGGCTGTCTACATTATTAACACCTCTATCACAAACTATTTGAATACCTAACATTTTTTTGTTCACTAAAGGCATTAATTTGGTTATTTTTTTAAATGTATTATAATTCATTTCTGGTAATGTATAACTCATTATAATGTTTTATATAATTCTCAAATACACATATTTGTTAAGTCGATAATACATTTTATATGCCTATTTACTACTATACCTTACATAAAGACTGTTTAACCAAAAATAAATTCAGCGGAAAATATYTGTTTAATATGAGAGCATAAATACTGTCTATATAACTATTTTAATGTTCATTGTTAAAATAAATAACTAAACTGTAAAATATAAAAAATATGAGTATAAAATACAAATGCACACCATGTCACCATTTCATCCCTAAAATAACGCCCCCGTTTAATATACATTATAATATTATGTATATTAAATCGACTTCTAAAGTTATTATTGATTTTACGTAGACGACGACGATAATATATTGTGCGAAAATGTATTTTTCGCATTTTCCACGAGATTGACGAAAACGACTTAGTAGGTACGACTTGATCTCGATGGCTATACAACTATAAATTATATACATCCAAAAATAATTAATTGGCATACATAAGGGAAACGAAGATGATTCAGTCTAGACACGTCCTACGGTGGAACAACACGTGTTATCCTCAATTCACGATGAAACGGAAAAATAAACAACGCCTACGCTGCCACATCGTAACGGAGAATGTCTCCACCGGAAAGCGATACTTCAATACCATAAGAAAATACGACGCTCGCAAAGATTTAAAGTCATCCAACTCCGAATTTTATCGCAGGTAAACTGAAATCCTAATTATATAATAACTATAAAAAATAATCTTACTCTCGACTACTTTTTAATGGCGAGTATTTCCTTGGTATATATAGTTGAAAATGTGTTGCAGATTTCTCTTAGGTACTTTTTTATAACTTATTTTCGACGCACCGACTATACTCATAAGTAGTCAGTAAGGCATTATTTATTCATGCGGACAATAGAAAAATAACAATATTGTTCGGGAAAAAATAATACCRTGTAATCCCGTTAATAGGTATTTATAGTAGAATTTTAGGGTCCAGTGCGATATAAAATTATTAATTTCATAGCTTGCGATACTTATTTTATTCGTTTCTGCATTGAAGCTAAACAAATAAAGGTTGAATAGGTACAACTTTTTATAAAAATTTTTTTTAATGTAACAGTCTTTGTAGAGATAAAATTTCAAAATATTTCAACTTTTCGCATTATGTAGATTCTCCGGCTTAAAAAACAATTTGGTTTATGAGCCCTTAAAATTTTTGGAACTCAACATTAATGCATGCTCGCGATCAAAATACAAACCTGAAGAATAATTAAGCTTTAGTAAATAAAAATCGACGTACGTTCTACAAGTTTCTCGAGGCGGCTTTAATGTTATATTTATATTCTTATATGTAATTTAATGCTACACGTACGCAGTTCGTGTTTAGCTTATAAATTATACTAAAATAATATGACAGGCAATTATTTGTAGTTTAATGATTTATTGACAAATTCTCGTCGAAAACTCAAATCTAATATTTATTCCGTAAATAACTATGTATAGGTACGATCTATAAGCGCACATCACAATACAATTGTAAATCGGGTTGATTTTGAACCAAATGAGAAGTTTAAAACGCAATATATTCTGCGGTTCGTAAAAAGGGTGCCTATATAATGCATACCTAGTGAGCCAAAAATGAAAAACGGCTGAAAAATTATTGTGACCGACGTTTCCGTATATAAATATATATGTGTGTATATTATCGCTCGCGCGTGTCCCTTCTTTTATACGCACACGCACACGCACACAGACACAGACAGGTATATATAATAATATTATATTATAGGGAAACGGCGTAATCTCCTAAATGATTTGTAACCATTTCACGACTGAGGAAACTCCGACGGTGCCGACGCACTATA